GTTTCTGCAAGGTCGCTCACCGTTTTAAGCTCGGCTCGCACAGCTGCGAAAGATACTGTAGTCTTCCCAGTACGTTGAGCCTGACCGTCGTTAACCCAGTCTTCCGCATAACCTTTGTTTTTTAGAATATAGTATTATTAATATTTGTAATTTGTTTCTTTATTTATAACTATAATGTGATCTCAAATGAGAACTGAGATGTGAGGTCTGTTGGCTTATGTTCATTTTCTTTGTTTGTAATAATGTTGTGAGTTTTGTACTTCTTTCTTTTAATTTTACCTTATATTATAATTTTATTATTTGCTGTTTATATCTAGTATATCTAAAGACCAAGAAAAGAGCTAAAATCTATATTTATTTAGTTAATATAAAAGTTAAGTATATGTTATTTTTGTAATTATTTTACTTAGTATATTGTAATCTAACAATAATAACTTTAAAATCATGTATTTTTAATTTTACCATTTGTGAATACCTCAGTCACAATTACAAACTAGATATCTAAAATAAATAGATCATGAATTAAGTTTTGAGCTTAAACCTTTGCCTTACTATTTGTTATTCATGACCACCTTCATTCTAATTTTTCATATGATTAGAAATCTTCCTATGAGAGATTCCTGATCATATGAAAATTGGAATGTTTTAGATGATTATAAATAACATAAGGCAGAAAATTATTTATTTATTTCCTGTGAGGAGTTTAAATTACAGCAGAGCGGAAGTTACTGGCAAACAGGTTGAGATTTACTACTATTTCAGGATAGGTTTATCCTTTAACAATGGTTCTCTACAGTCACTCGTAGATGAACCCTTAATTCGATGTACTTAGGGTAATGGAATCCGATTCTTTATTACTTGAGCGAGATTACATGATATTTATAACAAATTTATTATTGATTTTTAGGATGCCGATATCCATATATCCATTATCGCGATTATAACGATTATAATGCTTATATGCAATATAAGCGTTATAATTATTATCGGCATTATAAGCACTGTCAACCCAAGTATAGTAAGAAATCTTCATAACCAAGAGGGCGTGACTTGAGGTCGTACGCGAAGGCCCCACGACGAAATCGGTTACCCGTGAATCACGTGTTCCGGGTCTAACAGTACGATTCTTCATAAAAAAGCAATTTTAAAAATAAAAAAAAAATTTATTTATAGCTTTTTACTTCAGAATTAAAAGGATACTAGTACAGTTATTTTTTCTGTTACAAGAATTACTGTAAACCTTAATGACTGTGACATCAATTGATTCTAGAATTAATAAATAATGACATAAATGGAAACTATAAATTGATGTATATGTTGTACATACCCCAACTAGAAATCCTGAGGGTAACCAGGTTTTGGAATTCTTATTATTAAGTGGGTACACTAATGTACTGTACTAACCTATCCCTAACCTTACTAATTATAAGAATTCCAAAATCGGGTAACTCGGGATGGCTGGATCGGGCAGATTCCTATTTGGGGTACGACGTATATTTTTGGCAAGCTTTTCTAAATGAGCCAACCTATATGGAAATATTAATTTTTTTACTAAAAAGTTCTTTAAAAAAATTTCCCTGTTTAATACAAAAGAAATGCGATTATACAACATAATTTTCATTATCTTGCTTCAATTCTTAATTAAAGTAAATTCTCAAATGTCATTTAAGCCGGGAATAAGACAAAGACATACAGCTACATTTATAGATAATAAATTATATATATTGGGTGGTGCTTTAGGTAATCAAAGTGGTAGTGACCCAGGAAGAGAGTTTTTTTACCTTGATTTTTCCGTTTCATTCGATACCAAAAATTTAGTATGGGTAGATTTAACTAACATGAATGTAGTCCCATCACATTTTGATGCTACAGCTATTAAAGGAGGGCCTAACAATAAGACCTTATTTCTGTCTGGAAGTCCATCTCGTCCCATTTATGCATTCGATGCACAAAACAGTTCATGGAGCATTCCACTCATAGTTGGATATGATAGTATTAGAGTGATAGGTGAAGTTATCAATTTCAAAGGAGAATCATATAAATTTGGTGGATTCTCAGATGTTACAAATAGATTTACCGTAGATATGGTCATTTTAAATACAATAAATTTGAGTTGGAGAAGAGGGAGTATTCTAAATGCACCTTCTGCAAGGTGTTGTTATGGTTCTGCTCTTTTGCCAAATCAGGTTATTGTTTATTTTGGTAAGAGATAACTATCATATTAATATGAGATACGTTATGAGAAAACCTGTGAAGAATCTGATCTTATGTTAAAAATCATTTACATTCATAGCTGATACGCAATATCTGCATAATGCTGGGACGATAATTTTCTGTGTTCACAGAATTTTAAAGAATGATCTTATAAAAATAGTAATCGTTTTTTAAAAAAATTTTGGCCGGAATTTTTTTTTTTTTTTCGATTGTAATGCCGTCTAACTCGATTTAATGCTGGTCAAATCGCAGGAAATTATCGTCCCTGGAATATTTTATAGAAACAACATGATGACATATCATCATTGCAGATTGCATGACTAATTTTTTAGGATCAAGTCTAGCAAGATGAAAATTCAGGAATCAATTTACAGATTTTCTCTTACTATCATTTATATACAATATATAATTTGATATATACGTATATAGACATATTTATATAAAAATACTTTAATTATTTAGGTGGTTATGATGGAACAATTTTAGGACTTAATGAAGTAATAGGCTTAATCTTTTTTTTTTTTGGCGACTTCACATCTATTGCATTATCTAAATATTGTTTATTCTCATAGGCTTATTTATACGACACAATTAATGATAGTTGGAATACAAGAGTAAGTTAGACCAAAGACGCATTACTTTCTTTTTTCTTCTTTTTTTACTTCCTCCATAGTGATAATACTATGAGGACACGTTATCGTATATTTAGACGCATCACTTTAAAATTTATATTTACTTTAATATAGCCCATTTCAGGTCAAATACCCTCTAATAGAAGTTCTTTTGCAAATGTTCTCGGTATGCATTAAATAAACTGTTTTAATATTGCTAATTTTCATTGTCTCATTTTTCAATTATCACCATTTTAAAAGGATTGGATAATAAACGAATAATAGTCTTTGGAGGAGTATCTGACATAGGATACTCTACTACAGATGCGCTTTATGTATTAGATGTAATAAACTTTCAGTGGTATAAACCAAATGTTTCAGGCCCAATTCCATCTAATCGAGGCTGGCACATGGGAAATTTAATTGGAAAATATATGGTTATATCTTTTGGTAAATATATCTTATCTTATTGACAGGGTTGGCAATGGAGCTCAATGGAGCCCAATGAAACCCAGCGAAGCTCTGAATGGAGCCAATGGATACTAGTTTTTTGAACTCCATTCGCATAGCCACTGAGCTCCATTGGCTCAATTGCTAACCCTCTTATAGACTATGTAGTCAATTAATTTAGTCATTAATTATGTTGTATATTTAAATAGGCTTAGGCTATAGTCAAACTAATGAAAGTGACGTTTTATTACTCGATATTAGCAATGATAATGAATATGTGTGGGCATATGATTATATTTCTACAATTCCAACAATTTCTGCAACTCCTACAATACCAATTGCAACACCACAAACCGATAATATGTCAATTACGATCAAAATTATCATAGGAATTTCATTAGGAATTCTAATCAGTATATTGATAGTTGGAGGTTTCTTTTTTTATAAAAATAAATTAGCAAGAGGAATTCCAACACCCGGAAATGAAAAAGGAGATAATAGCAATAATGAAGTTGTAAATACTATTATTCCAACACCTGGAAATGATGAAAAAAATAGTAGCCATTTAGTTGTAAACACATCTGCAAGAAGCTTTTTAACAAAGTTATTTAATAAATAATTTTATCAATAATATTGGTTTTACAAATTTTAATTAATTGGTCTTATAAGTCTGCATCATGTTTCGCAAAATTTTTTTTATCTATTGTGATTCCGGAATCGGCGAGTCTGTCGCTAAATTAATCCAACTCTCGCGTAACCTACGGCGGCTAAGTCGAATTAGGCGTGTTAGATTTGGCTGGGTGGTTATCCGTAGGTAAGTTGTAATCTTCTCTTTAGGGCTTTCCTTTAATCTGGCTTCTACTAACTCTTTATCTTCTCTTTATCTTCTCTTTATCTTCTCTTTACGGCTCAACCCGGGATTACACTACGTCGAATCGGGGTTGGACTTCTCTTTCGGTAACGGTCTTGTCACGTGACTTGCGGCGAGCGATCAACTGGCGAGTTTAGGGATTTATTTAATGAACGATAGGGGTAACAACGGGATTTACGATGGATTATTAGTTTGTATGGAGTAGACTTTTACTTTTTAGGGGTCGGGTATTTATTTGTTATTAGGGAATTTGTTATTAGGAATTGGTTGTTAGGAATTTGTTGTTTGGAATGCGGGAGCTATTTTCTCCCAAGGCAAAAAATTCCCTTTATTTATAATAAACGTTTTGTTTACATTTACAGTTAATTTCTTTCATAAACGCATCAGATTTCTTATATTCTATATCCTAACTAAGTCTAATAAAACACTAATATTTCGTTTAACTCATATGTAGGCTAAGTCGTAGAAGCGACGTAAGTAACATAAGTGACATTTCCGTCACGTCCGTGTGACCTTGGATCGGGTCAGGATCGTCGCTTCGATTCGGTCACCTGTGACCCCGAAAATCGGGCTCACAATAGTAAAATTTATTTGCGGGCCGGCAAAAGTACAAATTTTTAGCCCCATGTAGGGCTCTAGTACGTATTGTACGTGAAAAATTTTGCCAATCCTTTCTACCAGCCAATCAAATCGCTAGATACGCACTGTACGTACTGTACGCACGCGAAAAAAAATTCAGGTATCATATAAATGGTACATCACTAGGGTTGTTAATGGAGTGGCATACTCCAGAGCCACTCCAGAGTGAACCCAACCCAAGTTGGAGTGAGTTAAAGATATGCCTAAAAATCTGTAGTAAAACTAGAGTAAACCGGAGCAGCTCTAAGCAAGCCCGGAGTGACTCCGGAGTGAGCCCAACCCAAGATGAAGTGGGTTGAGGAATTTTTTAACCAAACTCAACCCAAAAAACCCTACACATTACTAATTATGTGTATTACGTATGCTATAATCCCAATAATCACAATCACTCCAATCTCTTATAGATTGATTACTTAGCGCCCACACTCCAGTTGCATATACGGCTGAAGCTTGTCCTGCCCATTAACAACCTTACCGTTATCGTGATCAATTTTTTTTTAAGTTTACCAAACAAATCCCATTTAGGTAAAGATTTACACTTCACCTTTTAGGGTCTACACTTTAACACGTCCTTTTATGGTAAAATTTACATTTTTTAACACGTCCTCTTATGGTAAAAATCTACATTTTAAAACGCCCTCTTATGGTAAAAATCCACATTTTAACATGTCCTCTTATAGTAAAAATCTATATTTTAACACGTCCTCTTATGGTAAAAATCTACGTTTTTTGTCATCTAATCAATTTAGCATACCGCTAATGGATTTTTATTTATTTATTTTTATTACACTATTATCACCATTATTTGTTGCTATTATGTTGTGCGAGCAATGTTTAGGAAACATTGGCAACGTTACCACTACCCATTATTACCATTAAGACAGCAACAATATTGGCCATACGATAGGCTTTAGCATCACGGCGTAGTTAATAAGTATCAACACGATATGTCCATGTTATTACGACACTATTTCTTGTCCTTAATTAAGTAAAATGTATATAAGCGACCGAATTTTGACTTTTAATAAAGCAAGATTTTTATTTTTCCTTTGTACAAATAAATAATGAATTCGATATCCCTTTGTCTATAATTCTCAAATATTGATATATTACAGCTATTGGAATTTAGTGTAAACATGCTTTCTTTAAATATTCTTTGTGATTGATAGTACATTAGTTCCAAAGCTAATAACAGTCTCTTTTTTAAATTTTATCAGCAAAACTTAATAAAGATAATTTTCTCTTAAGATTATATGACCCTGCAGTTAGTACATAAGTCAACCTTAGACTTATGACTTATATTATCCTTTCTTACAAGCTATTATTAGTCTATTGTTAGAATAGTACGCCAGAACTTCCTAATATGTAATACATATGAAAGAGATATTTATCTGGATCACTTGCAGTATATGTGACACCTATGTTGAATCAAATCATTAATAATACCCCAAATGATCTACTTACCCTATCCAGTTATACTTAAAACAGAAGTAGACGCATTTGAACATTCACGTAACACATCCTATTATGGACAAGTTTTGAATTTTTTTTGCTTATCAACCAATCAATTTCTATTCCGCTGTTACAAAATTACAATTACACGACGAAGAGATTAAACTTGTATGTTTACTCCACGTGTAATACATGTAATATACTTTTTAGTTTATTTTAACTGATCCAACTCGATCAAAATTTATGCCAAAAACGGGTGTGTTACGATGAAAATTTACCACTCACACGTACGTACTTACCAAAAATGAACATGTTGCAATAATATAATCAGCATGTCAACATTTCGTTTACATAAAAAAAAGCATGTTTTCGATTCACAAGTTTAAACAGGTTAAATAAATTCACGTAGTACATACTGGTACTGCATCAAACTTACTTATGACCTGCATATTTTGAAAAATGATTTCGGGTCGAGTTACAATCTAAAAAATCTAATGCAATGATATTTAAACAATTTTTTATACACACGAGCAATTTATTTAACCCATATCGATTTAATAAAATATCGATATAATTAAAAAAATAAAAATAAACAAATAAAGAATAAAGACAAATCATAACATAATGGTATCGAAAATACAAGAAAATAATAGCCGAGAAAGAAAAGGCTTTTCGCTTTATTTAATTAAATATAAAGAAGAGCTCAAAACGAACTCATCTCACAAACTTCGTGGTCATAATCTTCGTGAAAAAGTTATTATCCTTAACGCCACTAAAGCTTATCGAGACGATTCTGAATTTAATTGGCATCTATCAAAAGAACCTGAATTTGATGAATGGTCCTTGGATATTGTTAACGACTTATCCATGAATCAGTAGATATTCTGTCCAAAGAAATGGATTATTTGTGCATGATAATGTTTATTAGTAGTATTAAACTAAATACCTGTATATTAGACATAATAGTATTCGATTTAACATTTATATTTTTAGCACACAAAATTAATTCTAAATCCATAAATTATACCCTTGGATATTAATGTATTTATAATAAAAAAATAAAAAAATTCAATGTGCGTCATCAGAGTCTTAGGGCTTCCTAGGTTAAAATAAATATAAAAATTTTCATACATTCAAGTTGCATTAATTTAATTGAATTTTCATGCCTACTATATATATATATAACTAGTAATAAAGCTGCGGCGTTTCATAGGTCTGAAGCCTTACTTGTCATGTGTTTAAATTTGAAATTAATCTACCAATATATGAATAATAGAATCTTGTTAATTTCAAGTAGCATTTTTTTATATTATCTTTTTTTATTTTTTTAAGAATTGAATTTCTGATTAAATTTCTACAAGGGATAGTAATATTCCTAAATCTAAGTTTTATTCCGTTACAGAAGCGAGAGTCAAAAGTTAGTAAAGTATGGAAAGGTCTTCCGCTCCACTCTTCTTTGCTCTAGCCCAATTACTTAAATTTGCATAATGAATAACTATGGTTTCATTGGTAATTTGGCCACTATTCAGTATTCCTAACAATTACATTGTAAGAATTGTTACCTTTAACTGAAATCTTAATAAGATGTGAAATACGCCTGCATAGTTACATATTTGTACAATTTAAACAAGATCGTACAATGAAAATCTCAATAAAGTTAAATATAAAAGGGAAAGTTTTTGCGAATTTTTATAGTAAATACCCTTTTAAATGAAAATTAAAAATTTCGTGAATTCTAGTGATTAAATGGTTTCTTCGAAATTAAAAAGTGGAAACAGAGAAATAGATGAGTTTTTACAAAGTACTGGTGGTATATTACAATGGTTTCCTTATAAAGAATTCGAAAACGTTAAAGAAATTGGAAAAGGAGGATTTGCCAATATATTTCTTGCTGAATGGAAAAATGAAATGTATGAATCTGAAATTGTACTTAAGGAATTTCTTGATTCAAAAGAAATTTCGACAAAATTCTTGAACGAGGTATTATTATAATCATTAAAATTCTTGATTATCATGAATTTTTTTTTATATATAAATTATTCATATTTATTACGTTTATACTTAGATAAATGCTCTTCATAAATGCATGAAAAAAGATGATAATTTAATTAATTTTTTGGGATGTTATGGAATATCTCAAAATCCGTCAACAAAAAATTATGTAATTGTAATGCAATATTTTGAAAGAAGTTCCTTAAACCGCAATTTAGGTGACGTAGTGGTGAAAAAATGGCAAGAAAAATTGAAAATGCTTAGCCAAATTGCCATGGATTTAAAAACAATTCACGAAGTTGGCTTAGTACATAAGGATTTGCATTCAGGGAATATTCTTCAAGACGAAGATCTCAATTCTTACATTTCTGATATGGGACTCTCTGGACCTCCCAATACTAAAAGTAATGACGACGGTATTTATGGAGTACTACCATATGTTGCACCTGAAGTTTTATGTGGTGGTTCATATTCGATGGCATCCGATGTTTACTCATTTGGGATAATTATGTGGGAATTCACTTCTGGAATGCCTGCATTTGCATATAATGCTCATAACATTGATCTTCAACTTGGAATCATTAGTGGATTGCGACCTATGATTATTAGTGGAACTCCACAATGCTATATCGATTTAATGAAGAATTGTTGGGATGAAAACATAAATAAACGTCCAACTGCTAAAAACATTTATGATACTCTAGAAAAATGGATAAATGGTTCTGAATTTCAACAACAATTTGAGCAATATGACAATGTAACAAATTTTAGCAATGTATTTTCTTCGTTCGAAGTTCATTCAAATGAAATCCACACCAGCAGATTCATACACGCTTATGATAATTATTTTATGCAATCCAAATACATGTTCCGAACAATTACACCAGGTATATATATATATTATTATTAAATTCAACTATTTCCAGAATTCTCTTGACTAATATGTATTAAAAAATACGTTGGCATAATTTGATGTTGAATAAGAATATGAAGAGTCAAAAATTATTGACCTAGGAATGACACGCCTTGTGAGTGCCTATTTAAAAAATTCCATAGAAAAAACTATAGTTTCAAAATGCCGATCAAAAATCTCGTTAATATTAATAGCAGTGATTTATTTAATATTAGAGTGGTGTATAGCATTATGTAATAGTTTCAAATACAGTCAAACCTCCCTAGATACAATTCATGGGAACCATAATTTGATAGCTTACATTTAGTGAACAAGAAAAATTGCATTTATGGAAGTCTAGTATATATTATAGCCAGAATTAAAGATTGCATTTAGTGAGGTCTGACCGAATTATTTGTACACAGAGCTTAATAGTTTTTTAAATAGCATGATATATTGCAAACTTTTTAAAAGTGTAATGGATCGAAGTATTACATCATAATGTATGTAATCTATAGTAAACGTGAAAAATTTATGGATTTTTACCATAATTCTTGGATTGGTGTTCCAAATTTTAAATTGAAATATTTTATTGTCTTGATACGATATCATATAATAAGATATCAATACAATTAAACAATATAACAATAAAAAAATATTTCCCAGTGTGAATGCCAATGCCATTTATCGTTGTCATTTTATTTGTAATATTAAGATGATAATCTATCTAATTATCCAATGCCACATAAAACTCTTTCTTTATCGTACATTATAGTGAATTTTAATAGCGCCTCAAGTTCCCTTCTAAAATAGGTTTCATATCAAAATCCAGACAGCACTAAAAATTCTAACACTACCAAAATCTTAGCAGTATTGCTACTATGATTTTGGTAATATCGGGATTTTAATGTCACGCTGGGATTTTGTGTGTCGGGATTCTGATATGAAATCTCCAAAATGATTCTTTTCAAGTGTATTGCAGAAAGAATTATTAGTCCAGAGTGACCATCAAAAGTGCTGGTAATATGGTAATGCCACAACCACATCCTTCCCTCTTTTATGACGAGCGCCTACAAACACAAAAAAAATAAATAAGCAAAAGTTTATGGCCAGCATGATGCAATCATCTACTGAATCCGCAATGCTGGAGACTTGGAATTTTTCTAGTCGTTTAAAATCATTCTTGCTATGACCAACATAATCCAGCCCGGAGTCATAAAACAGTTTTACGTGGTTAAACAGTTTCAATCAGTCTTGATATCCCAATACTCACGTACAACTGCTGTATTGATGATTCTTTTATGTCAACCAAATATCATTCGTATTACAAAAATCAAAAAAAAATATCAACGAGGGGTTATTAATCAATGCTTTAAACTTTTATTAATTTTTAATCACAATTACATTTATACCACATATTTTTTATTGTATCATTTCAATACTTGGATTATTAAATTTTATAGTAAAATTAATATTATTACGACGAATATCTAATTTTTTAAGGTATTGTTCTTGCAAAGCGCATCTCCCAGTGCTTTTCCTCCTTCTGATTCAAGATTATTAGATTTAAGATCCAAATTATTCAGTGTGGTATTCTTGCAAAGTGCATATGCTAGTGCTTTTCCTACATCTGATCCAAGTTTATTCAATTCAAGATTCAAAGAAGTCAGCGTTGTATTCTTGCAAAGCGCATCTGCTATTACTTTTCCTCCTTCAGATCCAAGATCATTTAATTGAAGATTTAAAGAAGTCAGCGAGGTGTTCTTACAAAGTGCATTTGCCAATGCTTTCCCTCCTTCTGATCCAATGTTATTGTTATAAAGATTTAAAGAAGACAGAGTAGTGTTTTCGCAAAGTGCATCTGCCAATGCTCTACCTCCTAATCCAAGGTTATTAGAACTGAGATCCAAAGAAGTTAGTGCAGTGTTCTTGTAAAGCGCATCTGCTAATTCTCGTCCTCCAAATGATCCAAGATTATTCGAACTAAGATATAAAGAAGTAAGCGTGGTGTTCTCACAAAGTGCGCATGCTAATGCTTTTCCTCCGAATGTTCCAAGATTATTCCAACTAACATCCAAAGAAATCAGTGTGATGTTCTTGCAAAGTGCATTATCTAATGCTTTGCCGACGTCCGGTCCAAGATCATTATTATGAAGATTCAAAGAAGTCAGCGTGGTATTCTTACAAAGTGCATCTGCCAGTGCTTTCCCTCCTTCTGATCCAAGATTATTGTTACTAAGATTCAAATCCTTCAGCGTAGTGTTCTTGCAAAGTGCATCTGCTAAAGATTTACCGACGTCAGATCCAAGATTATTATCACTAAGATTCAAGTCTTTCAAAATAGTATTCATACAAAGTGTCTTTATTAACTCTTTTATTTTTTCCGGTTCACGACATTTAGAAGGAAGATACCAAGATGAAGCATTCATTTGATCTCTATAATCATGTTGACTGTTCTTGAGAATCTTTTCATAAAGCTCTAATGCTTTGAGAAATTTGCCTTGCTCAAAACTTTCTTGCGCTTCTCTTCTCATATCCTCAATGTTACAATCTTGCATTGAAATGTTTGAATTTATTGCATCAGAAAAATAAAGTGGAGATGAAGTCGTAATATCGAATGAATTTACAGGTTCGGTTGGATTATCTTGACGACTTGAGGAAGTATCACTATTTTGAGTTGATGCTCCAGTGTGAAAGTTTTGGCTCAAAGGTTCATTAGGAATAAGTTTTTTTAAACCATTGAGAATTTCTTTTGTTTCTGGACGATTGGCAGGATCACAATCCCAACATTGTTCATAAAGTTTAATATATTGAGGAGGTGTACCTTCTATAGGTTCCTCTCTGTTTCCTTGGTATATGTGAAAACAGAGGGCCATTTTTGACTCAATGGTTTGAAATGGTGGTCTTCCACTAGAAACTTCCCAAAGGATTACACCAAAGCTATAGACGTCAGATTTCCTATCACGCTTATATTTTTGATCTATAAGGCATTTAGGTTCCATATACGCTGGCATTCCATGAGTGATTGAATTTGAAGCCATAGACATTTCATTTATCTGCTTCGATAGTCCAAAATCTGCGATTTTTGCTTGTTTTTGATGAATTAGGATATTCTTCGAATGCTAAATTGTTAGAAGATTAGTAAAAATATATATATATATATAATGTAGTAAATTCTATAGTACTTACAAAGTCTCTATGAATAATATCATTATTATGCAAAAATAAAAGTCCAAGTGCTATTTCCTTTGCAATACGTAGTTTATCTGTCCATTGCAAGTTTACAAAATTTTCTTTTAAGTATTCTCGTAAATTGCCGTCATCAGCATATTGTAAAATCATATTATAACATCCGTTATCATCTATTTAATTGTAATAAAATATCTTTAATATAATTATTATATTATAAAATTCAAAACTTTTAGATTGCATATACACCTTTCGTGACTCCATAGAATTTAATAATATTAGGATGGTAATCAACTTTTAGTAATAGTTTAAGCTTTATATCATGGTTATAGAAATTTAGTATTACATCATGAATAATGCAAGTAGTAATGTAATAAATACCTCTTTAATAAAATCTTTAATAATTTTTTCATTTAAGCCTACATTAGAATCGATTTTAAGACATTTAAGGGCAACCACTAACTCACAATCTTCCCATTCATATTTAAAAACATTTCCGAAACCCCCACTACCAATGATTGCAGGATTTGTAAATTTATTATATTCAAGATTATTAATATATCCTTCAGAAATAGCTTTTTCAAACCATTCTTCTGGTGTATTTGCCATGACTTTTTCTATTCCGAAAAATATGTATGTATGTACGTAACATATGTACGTGCTTGTTCTTTATACTTACTGATTAAGTGACACAACATTGGTGCTAACGTGAAATCCATTATTTCTCCTTAAATCCATATTTTCCCTTTACAGAAATTTTCACGCAAATACATTCTTTCAAAGAATTCCATTACATCATAGAACCTTCTATGACCTTTTCGATATATACTTGGTCATGTTTAAAATCTCAAGTATGCAATGCATTTACGTACATATTCACCATGTATCATAAACGGAAATCTCAATAAAATTAAATATAAAAAGTAAAGTTTTGCGAATGCAATGGTATTTAAACAATTTTTATACACATGAGCAAATCATATAAATAAAAAAAAAATAAATAAAGTATAAAGACAAATCGCAATATAATGGTATCGAAAATACAAGATAATAACCGAGAAAGAAATGGCTTTTCGCTTTATTTAATTAAATATAAAGAAGAGCTCAAAACGAACTCTCATAAACTTTGTGGTTATAATATTCGTGAAAAAGTTATTATTCTTAACGCCGCTAAAGCTTATCGAGACGAACCTGAATTTAATTGGCATCTATCAAAAGAACCTGAATTTGATGAATGGTCCTTGGATATTGTTAACGACTTATCCATGAATCAGTAGATATTCTGTCCAAAGAAATGGATTATTTGTGCATGATAATGTTTATTAGTAGTATTAAACTAAATACCTGTATATTAGACATAATAGTATTCGATTTAACATTTGTATTTTTAGCGCACAAAATTACTTCAAAATCCATAAATTATACCCTTGGATATGTAATGTATTTATAATAAAAATAAAATATTCAATGTGCATCACCAGCGTCTTAGGGCTTCCTAGGTTAAAATAAATATAAAAATTTTAATGCAGCCAAGTTGCATTAATTTAATTGCATTTTTCATACCTACTTTATATATATAACTAATAATAAAGCTGCGGCGTTTCATAGGTCTGGAGCCTTACTTGTCATGTGCTTAAATTTGAAATTAATCTACTAATATATGAATAATAGAATCTATTGTTAATGTCAAGTAGCATTTTTTATAAGTTCATATTTTTATTAATACACATACGAACAGATATAAGCCCCAATCTTTAGTAATTCACGAAGTTGCAAAGAAAGTAATTTTTGCTCTTCAGCGAATTTCTGTTATAAAATGTTCGCTTTTCCCTACTTGTAATTTATCATAAGAAAAACATCATTAAAAATATCAGAAAAAGCCGAACCCTTGTTCTTCAGGTGTCATAGAATCAACATTTTCATTCAAACATCATTTCTTTTTATTTAGACGTATAACTTCTTTTTGGCATTTTAGATTTCAATACAATAAACTATTAATTAACTTTTACCGATATTATCTTTTTTATTTTTTTAAGAATTGAATTTGATTAAAATTTTTACAAGGGATAGTGATATTCCAAAATCTAAGTTTTATTCTGTTACAGAGGCTAGAGCCTAAATTCAGTAAAGCATGGAAAGGTCTTCCGCTCCACTCTTCTCTGCTCCAGCCCAATTACTTAAATTTGCAGAATGAATAATTGTGGCTTCATTAGTAATTTGGCCACTATCTAGTATTCCTAACAATTACATTGTAAGAATTGTTACCTTTAACTGAAATCTTAATGTGAAGTACGCCTGCATAGTTACATATTTGTACAATTGTATATACAGAAACCATTGTAATATCACCACCAATACTTTGTAAAAACTCATCTATTTCTTTGTTAATTTCGAAAAAATTATTTTGTCACTAAAATTCACGAAATTTTGATTTTCACTTAAAAGGGTATTCGCCATAAAAATTTCCCTTTTTATATTTAACTTTATTGAGATTTTCATTGTACAATATACGTATCGAGATTGTGAGAACGTTAAAGGAATTGGGAAAGGAGGATTTGCCAATATATTTTATGCTGAACGGAAAATGAATGTATGAATCTGAAGTTGTACTTAAGGAATTTCTTGATTCAAAAGAAATTTCAACAAAATTCTTGAAACGGGATATTATTATAATCATTAAATTCTTGATTATCGTAATTTTTTTTATATATAAATTATTCATATTTATTAAGTTTATACTTAGATAAATGCACTTCATAAATGCATTAAAAAAGATGATAATTTAATTAATTTTTTGGGATGTTATGGAATATCTCAAAATCCGTCAACAAAAAATTATGTAATTGTAATGCAATATTTTGAAAGTAGTTCCTTAGCCGCAATTTAGGTGACGTAGTAGTGAAAAATGGCAAGAAAAATTGAAAATGCTTAGCCAAATTGCCATGGATTTAAAAACAATTCACGAAGTTGGCCTAGTACATAAGGTTTTGCATTCAGGGAATATTCTTCAAGACGAAAATCTCAATTCTTATATTTTTGACATGGGACTCTGGACCTCCTAATACTAAAAGCAATGACGACGGTATTTATGGTGTATTACCATATGTTGCACCTGAAGATTTATGTGGTGGTTCATATTCGATGGCATCTGATGTTTATTCATTTGGGATAATTATGTGGGAATTCACTTCTGGAACGCCTCCATTTGCAAATAATGCTCATGACATTGATCTTCAACTTGGAATTATTAATGGATTGCGACCTATAATTATTAGTGGAGCTCCACAATGTTATATCGATTTAATGAAGAATTGTTGGGATAAAAACGTCCAACTGCTAAAAAAATTTATAACACTATAGAAGTGGATTTTTGAATATGAATTTCAACTACAATTTGTGAAATCTGACGAAATAACAAATTCTAGCAATGTGTTTTCCTCGCTTAGAATTCATCCAAATGTAATCTGCACTAGCAGATTCATACACACTTATGATTCCTTTACACCAGGTATATATGTATATATTATTAAATTCAACTATTTTCAGAATTCCCTCGACTAATATGTATTAAAAAATTCATTGGCATAATTTTGATGTTGAATAAGAATATGAAGAGTCAAAAATTATTGACCTAGGAATGACACGCTTTGTGAGTGCTTATTTAAAAAATTCCATAGGAAAAACTTTAATTTCAAAATGCCTATCAAAAATCTCGTTACTATTAATAACAGTGACTTATTTAATATTAGAGTGGTATATAGCATTATGTAATAGTTTCAAATACAGTCAAATCTCCTTAAATACCACAATTTGATAGCTTACATTTGGTGAACAAGAAAAATTGCATTTATGGAAATCTAGTATATATCATAGCCAGAATTAAAGATTGCATTTAGTGAGGTCTGACCGTATTATTATACCGGGTTTAAATCACCACTCAAAAGAATTTCAGATCGTGTGATTTAATAATTACAATATATCATTATTATTGCTCGATCAGAGACTTATCTTTATTACTATCTAGATGAAAAAACATATTGGGATAGGTCCACTATCTCAAGACCCTACTGTATCATATAATCGGACTAAGAAAATGCGTAACCACAAGCTCACTACGCTGGTCATTCACTATAGAATATCTAAACATGTCCGTCATCTCAAGGCACTACTGTACCATTTAATCCGACAAAGAAACACGTAACCACAACCTCACTACCCTGTACATATACTATAAAATCTAAACATTTAAGTTCATAACTATCGTAAGCCTTTATAGCAAAAAAGAGAATCGGGTACTAACAGTAATAGCGTTAAAGAAATTTAACTTCCGAATGCCCTAAATATGTACTGCACAGGTCCTTGAACTGCCAATGCAGCCGTGGAGCCCGATTATAAGGTACTTGCACTGCCAAAGCAGCCGTGGAGCCTAACTAATAGGTCCTTGCACTGCCGAAACAGCCGTGGTGCCTAACTAAGAGGTCCTTGCACTAGAGTTGGCACTCGAAACGAAACCTACCCGAAACTAGTTTCGGGAGACTCTAATCCGAAACTAGTTTCGGGAGACTCTAATCCGAAACTAGTTTCGGGAGACTCTAATCCGAAACTAGTTTCGGATTTTCTAAAAAAAATCCGAAACTCCGAAACCCAAAATTCCGAAACTATAATCCGAAACCCCGAAACTATAATCTAAATTTTTTAAAAAATTATAACTTAAAAAATACAAA